TCCCTCTCTCTCTCTAAAAAAAGAAAGAGAGAGAGAGAGTCAAGTTTAACTGGGCATTCTGTGTTTTATCTGGCAACTCTGGAGCTTGTTGGAACGCAAATTCCCCAGCTCCACTTCTGACCCGTGGAATCAGAGTCTGTGTTGTGACACTCAGGTGTGAGCTCTAATTAGTGGCTTCCACCTCCTGTTGTGCTTGGATTCCTAAGAGTCTGTGATAAAAGCAATTAACATGTGTCCTTGGGCTATTTACGATATTTCAAAAAGGCCAAAAGGAATCACACATTTTACCCAGGATCAGGCTGTACAGGACAAGTGGGTTTCAACTCTCCAGTGGCTTCTCACTGGACTCAGAATAGGCAGACTCCTGCCCTGGCCTCCAAGGCCTTCACAGTCCTAACGCTGCTCCCCTCTCTGACCTTACCTCCCATTGCTCTTGCCCCTGTGACACTGTACCAGTTTGTGTCTCAAACACACCAAAGCCAGAGCCCACACCAAACCCATTTCCACCCCAGGGCCTTTGCACTTGCTATTCACTCTGCCCGAATACCCCACTTCTAGAGTTTCAGGTGGCTCTCTGCTCAAATGTTGCCTCCCCAGAAAGACCTTCTCTGATCATCCTATCTTTCTAAACCAGGTCCACCCTCCCCACCCAGGTAACACTCCAACACATCATACCAACTTATTTTCTTAAATCAGTTGTTAGTGCCTACTTATACTCAGTAGTTCACTGAGTTAGAAATTTAGTTCTGGGGGTGCGTGGCTCAGTTAGTTAAGCATCTGACTCTTGATTTTGGCTCAGGTCATGATCTCATGGTTTGTGGGTTTGAGTCCCATGTTGGGCTCTGTGATGACAAGTGCGGAGCCTGCTGGGGATTCTTTCTCTTTGGGGATTCTCTCTCTCTGCCCCTCCCCCACTAGCATGCTCACCCTCTCTGTCTCTGTCTCTCTCAAAAATAAATAAATAAAACATTAAAAAAAGAAACAGACATTTCTGAAAAAGACCGAGTAATAAAAATCTGAAAAACACATTAATATAGAGTCTGTTTAGTGGATAGAATCTTAAAAAAAAACTTTTTTCAATGTTTATTTATTTTTGAGAGACAGAGAGAGACAGAGTGTGAGTGGGGAAGGGGCATAGAGAGAGGGAGACACAGAATCCAAAGCAGGCTCCAGGCTCTGAGCTGTCAGCACAGAGCCTGACATGGGGCTTGAACTCACAAGCCACAAGATCATGACCTGAGTAGGAGTTGGATGCTTAACCAACTGAGCCACCCAGGTGCCCCTGGATAGAGCCTTTTAAAAGCACCCAGAGCTTGAGAAAAACAAGTGGTTAAATGGGTCATCCCTAGGAGACCTTTGAGCTCTGACCTTTAAGTCTTTCCATAAATTCCATTTTATACTTGTCCCTCCCCAGCATGAAAAATTTCGGCTCTAGAATACAGTTCACACTTCTCATCCTGGCATTCAAGGCCCTTCTAATCTGGCCCCATCCAGGTCCCCAGGGTACTTCCCTTCCTCCCCTTCAACACAGACTGTTCATTTGTTCTGGCCAGACTGTTCTCTGCATTATTATCTGGTCACTCCGTGTACAGTCCCACCTCTATGCCTTTGCTGATGCCATTCCTTTTGCCAACGACACCCTCCCTATTTATTTAGATGAACAATCATTGGGTAATTTGTTCAACCAATGAAAATTTATGAGCACCAACTGCATGCCCACATGTGATATTTAGGTCAACACAGTAGCCATTCTCCGCTCCCCCCATTCCAAGTGCATTAGGAGGTACTAGCAGAAGAACACAAATAACTCTAATTCAAAGTAATCAGGGTGTGGTATCCTAAGAAAGGAATATGCTGTAGACTACATCCAAAAAAGAAGAATGCCTTGGAGATTTGGGAGAGGGAGAAAGAGAGGCCATTCATGAACATGGTATACATTTCCATTTATTTAGGTGATCTTTAATACTAGTTTTTCAATAATGCTCTGTATTTTCCTCCTTTTGTTTGTTCATTCCTATATATCTAATCTTATTGCACTGCAAATGTTTACATATTGTAAGTGTTCTTAGTATATAAAAATGCAATTCATTTTTGTATTCTGATTTTTTTGTATCCAGCCACCTTCCAAAAACCCTTATTATTTTTCTAATAATTTGACCATATATTCTTTTGGGTTTCTATGTAGGCAATCATACCTATAAAGAAGAGTGATTTTATGTCTTCCATTTCAATCCTTCTACCTTAACTTATTTTTCAGCTTTACTGTGCAGGCCAGGACCTTTACCTCACTGCTGATTTTAAAGGGATGTTTCTAACATTCCATCTTTATGAATGTTTGCATCATGTTAACAAAGAGATTGAATATCACTGATACCACCAATAATGGGACAAACTGACAACATGTGTCACAAGACATATGAACTGAGGATTCAACACCATTTGTTTAATATTCTTACCCAAAATGTATAATATAAATCTAATCATGAGAAAACAATTTCAAAAATCCAAATTTTAAAATATTCTACAAAATAGCTGTCCTTTACCTGCTTAAAAATGTTAGTATCATGAAACGAAGTAGACTAAGACACATGACAAAATACAATGAAGGGTCCTGAGTTGGGGGACCAGACCCCAACTGGTCCAGACATAAAATTTCTATACATACACATATGGAGAGGAAGATATAAAAGAGATAAAAAGTAACCCTGGCAGAATGTTAGCAACGGGTGAATCTAAATAAAAGTTTTTAAAAATTCTGTTTATGTTAGTGAAATGCTCTTTTCCCGATTTGCTAAGAATTTATATCATGAATGGGTACTGAGCTTTATCAAATGATTTTTCTGCATTTATGGAGATGACTGTATGGCTTTCTCCCTTCATTTGTTAATGTAATGATTTACATTTCTAGATTTATTAATATTAAACTGTCCTTAGTTTCTGGAATAAATCCAGCTTGGTTAGAATGCATCCTTTTTTAAATTCACTGCTGGATTTTGTTTGCTAGCCATTCTGCATACATCTTGAGTGAGACTGCACTGTCATTTTCCTTTCTTGTTTTCTCCTTATCTGGTTTTGGAATCAAAGTTACATTGGCTCATAGAACAAGGAGGGGAGAAGTCCCTCTTTTTCTTCTCTCTAGATGTGTTTGCAAAATATTGGAATAATCAGTTCCTTGGAAGTTATATAGAAACTGCCTGTAAAACCACATGAACATCGTATCATCCCTTATGTACGTGTTTGTATAAAATATAGCATATAAAAAAAGGCACGAAATGCAAGTGTTCAGCTTAATGAATTGCTGGAAAATAAATTACCCATACATCTGCCATCTTCTCAGGTTAAGACATGAACTATCACCACACAAAGAAGACGCCCCCCTTCCATGGATATTCTCCAGTCATAACTACTTCCCTCCCTCAGGGAGTGATAATCGTCCTGGATTTCATGACAGTCCTTTGCTTGCTCTTCCTGAAAATTGTTCTACTTACTAATACATCCCTTCAGGTAGAATTTAATTTAGTCTGTACCTATCTTTAGGTAAAGAGAGTGAGATCGTTTGTAATTTGTTTGGTTTCTTTTCCTCAAAATTGTCATTAAGATTCATCCATGTTGTGGTACGTATGTATGTATACTTTGTTCCTTTTCATGACTGTGCAGATTCCCTATTATGGAGATATTATCATTTATTTATTCAATTATTGGACATTTGAGTTTTTGCAGTTTTGTGATAATATTAACAACACTCCTATGCACATTCTTGTATTTGTGTCCTGATGCACGTAAACACATTGCATGGGATATACCAAGGAGTGGAATCTCTGGGTCAGAACGTATGTGTATTTTCCTCTTTACTAGAAGCTGTCACGTTTTGCTTCAAAACACATGTGACAAAAAACCAAAAAAACACACCAAAAAAAACCCCAAAAAACCACGTGTGACAGTTGACACTGTCACCAGAAGTGTCTGAGAGTTTACACTGTTCCATGTCCTTGCCACAACTTCCTATTGTTAGATTTCTACATCTTTGCCAATTCTGTGGTTGTGGTGGTATCTCATTGTGGTCTCCTGGTGAGATACTAGTGGATGGGAGTTGAAAATGTATCGTTCGATGTCGATTTCTAATTCAATTCCGTTGGGATCAGAAAACCTGGTCTATGAGATTCCATTTTGTATTTATGACTTTAATTTCTGAAGTCCTTTGTGGGGGGGGGGGGTCTAAGTCTGTAGTTTGTTGTGCTGACTCTTCCTCGTGGTGGCTCACATGCTTGGTGATCTCAGATTACAAATTTCCCTGATCTGACTCTGTAGGAGTCCTGTCCACATCGGGGATGCCTTCCTCTGGAGAAACTTCCTATCTGCCTCTGCTGTGAGCCAGAGGCACTACCAACCGGGATCTCTCTAGCTCTTCTGCAGGTTCAGCCTTAAGAAGATTCAGGCTCGGTATCCTGACAAGGTCTGCTATTAAGTTAAGCTATACAAAATTACCACTTCTGGGTTAAAAAACTATTAAGTATCAGCAATTGCATATGGTCTAACCTATACTGTTAACATGTGCCGGCAGGACAAGCTTGTTCTTTCTGTTTGCTTACTGCTTACCTCTCCCAGTTAGATTTTTTGGCTCAAGATTTGTTTCTTTTTGCTGGGGAGGGGAAGTGGCCTTGGAGATTTCCCCAACATCTTGTGAGCCCAGCAATGCATCACAAATTACATTTTATTCAGGAGTGAATCATTTTGCAGTGAGGGAGTAGTCCTAGGAGTAGCTAGAAGCTAGCTAGGTAGCTTCAGCTAGAAGCTGAAATCCCAGGATAGGTATTTTTTTTTCTCAATGAGGAAACCAAAGCTCAAGGAAGTGAAACGACTCAAGGTCACATGGCTGGTAATAAGCAGGGTTAGGATTCGAATCCACATAAGAGACCAGAACCCAGGCTCTTTCTACTTCCCCTCTGTCTGTACAGCCTCCAGAGGGCTGCTTGGACCTGGGGCTTAGCAGGCAGCCTTACCTGGCTCAAGGGAATGACGAGGAAGGCTCCCCCACCAGCGCACTCGGTCACGACTGCAATGAAACGGGGGTTCACGGCGCAGAAGTGATTGTCGTGGACGCTGTGGGTGATGGGCACCGAGTCGTAGCAATTCTCCTTGCTGGCTGGTTTGCCAAAGACGTGGCGGAACTTGGAGCTCCGGTACTGGGGATGCCATGACATCTGCGGGAGACAAACAGGACAAAAGCGGCATGAGGCTCGCTGCCCTGATGGTGGGACACTCAGGGAGCTCACCTTCAGCGGGCACGACCAGCACAGTGGTCAGTTCTGGGTGGACAATGTGCTATGAAAGGCAACCAAACGAACCGACTGTTATTGTGGCTACTTCTGTGGATCTGGTGAGACGGTGTATGGTTATTGCTGGCCTGTTTGCTTGTCATTTCTTCAAGCGTAAGAACAAAAGGCAGAAACGCAAGAGACAGAACTCACCACCTTCCCCCCATCTCCACCATCTCAGCAGGTACCCCAGCCGTGCCACGCCACTCAGCCCAGCTAAGTGGGTCACATTGTGTCCTCTGGAGCCAGCCTGCCTGGGCTCCAATCCCAGCTCTGCCACTTACCAGCTGGGCGAGCAAGTGACTTAAGTCTGAGTTCTCAGTTTCCTCATCTGTAAAATGGGGATAACAAAATCATCTGTCTCATAGACTTGTCATGAGGACTAAATTACATGATACATTAAGGTCCCTTGATCTACAGTAGTAATTACTCCCAATATTATCATCCAGGCATCTTGAACTTCTCCAGATCCTCATCCAGCCCTGTATTTGTTCACTCTGTCTACTGAGCACCACTGGACGACTGGGCCCCGTGCCTGGCACTGGGGGTTGGAGAGAATAAGCATGAGCCCATCCTTACAGGAGTGAAGAATCCTGTGAGCGAGGCCACTACAGGAGTCCGGGCCACTGGGACCCAGTGTACTCTAGGCAATAATGGAGATTTGTACATGGCAGTCAGGGAAGGCTTCCCGGGGGAAGTGACATGTGAGCTGTGATTTGAAGGATGAGGAAGAGTTGGCTATGTTGACAGGACAGTGGTAAGGTGGGGGGAAGATATCCCCGGCAGATGGAACAGCCTAAGCAAAGGCCCAGAGACAGAAGCAAACATGGAATGTTTGGGAAACTACATGTGGTTTAGTAAGATTAGCAAGGTGATGTTAAACACACACACACACACACACACACACACACACACACACACACACACACGTAAACTCGATGATATGAGTGAGGAGAACACAGCTAGAGGGGTGAGCAGGGCTAGATCATGAATGGCAGAAGAGGGTCTCGGCCTCATCAGTGGCCAAACACACGACACGTGGCTTCTCAGCCCTGCTGATGCCCAGGTCAAGCCCCTGACCCCAGTCTCTGACCCCACCGGGCCTTCTTGTCCACGTTCCTCATCTAGGCCAGAGAGATCCTTCTGGACCAAGCCTGGATGTATTCCTCACCACCCTCCTGAGGTCACCCTTGGATGCTCCTGATTTACTGCCGCCCTGCAGGAGCAAGGCCAAACCCAGCCTGGCATTTAAGGCCTTCTGGTGAGGTCCTGCCCCATATTCCGAGATTCAACTTTCCTTGCTCATCTTCTAAAGGGTACTTTCCAGATAAAGAACCCCCAGCTTCCCTGAACCTGCTTTTGCATTTCCAGTCCTCTGGACCTTCCCCCTTGCTTTCCCCTCTGCTTGGCCTGCCCTTCCCCACCCCGTATCCCCTGTCTCCCCATCTCCCCATCTCCACCTTCCCTTCTCCAGCTCCCACGTCCTCCTCTGGAGTCTTCCACGACACCACAAGTAGCAGATCTCTGGTTCTCCTCTCCTCTCTCTCACCCCAACCTGCCATGTCTCCTTGCTGCCCTCAGGCTCTTGACACTCTTGGCTCTGATTCCTGAGTCTGGTGTCAGGTCTCATCTCCTCTGCTGCTTGCAGGCTCCTCAGAGAAAGGCCTGGTGCTCTGCTCCAGGAGTGCCCAGCCCAGAGCTCTGTCCACCCCGGGCCCTAGGAACTTCCCAAGGGCAGGCATGTGTGTGCTGGGCACCCACAGGGTCAGGACCAAAGAAGGCACTTGCTCTGTGTTCAGTTCAAAGGCACAAGATTAGACTGTTGACCTCAAGAGGTCATGGTGATCAGGGGTCTGACCCATGAGCCAAACTCTTTACAGGGAAGCCCATCAGCCTCACGGGACAGGTCTGTCCTGTGAAGCTCAGACATTTTAACTTTCCTTTTAGGAGCTGCATTTGCCAGAGCTACAGGAAGCAGCACAGAATGCAGGGACAAACTAATTAATGTCCATCTGATCCCAGAAAGGGTGTAAGAAGCTGTATAGAAATGGAAAGCACACAAGATAGGAGCAAATGGAAAAGCCTTGGCAAGGAAATGGGGACAAGGGAAAATGCAGGGACACAGAGATCGCCTGATATTTGGAGGTAGTTAAGCTACTGAACGTGTGTTGCCAGGTCCTCCACACAGTGCAGGTGCACTTCAGACTCGGCTCCAAGCTTCCTAGTGGCCAATTCGATAAGGGAAACAGAATCACAAAGGGATTTAGCCAGCCACCACTTGCTAAGGAGCAGCACAGCTTTTCTCTGCAGGGGGTCCTGAGGGAAATGAGTCCTGGGGGTCCTCACAGAAAGAAATCATGAGGACTGAGATGTCCCTAGGGTCTTGGTAATTAGATGGCAGCGGAGGAACTGCCTTGGGCCAGGGCTGGGGTTAGGAAAGTAGGGGGGCACGTCAGCAGGCTCAGCTCCAGGCCTCCCAACTCTGCCTCACCTTCAGCAGCTGCCATGGTGGGGCGGAGGGGACACCCGTCTGTGGCCAATGGTGGGGCTCATCAGACATTCTATTGCTCCCTTCACGTCCCTACCTCCTTGCTGTTGGGCAGTCACGGAACTGATTCTAGCACCAATGGATCAGGGACAGCAGTGGTGTGTGCCACTTTCAGGCTGAAACACGGAAGACCTGCCTGTGACCCTCCAGAACTCTTGTCCTTGGTTGAAGGGATGAAAAGGCCACATGTTCTGCATGATGTGGCTTCCATCATCCTGGGTCCCCAAGGGGTCCTGTGGAACAGAGGATCTCCCCCTAACGAAGTCCCTGCCTCTGTCATAGCGTGACAGAGAAATAAACCTGCAGAGCAAACCAGTTAGAAAGTGGGGCCATTTGTCCCAGAGCTGAACCTACTGTCCTGACTAACACACTGCCCCCATGCAGCCCCAACCAACGGTAAACTGGGAAATGGCTGCCTGTGCTTAGTGTGGCTGGGGCACAGGAACCTGCGGGAAAGAGATGGGCGAGGAGGCAGGACCCAGATCACCTCAGGAGCCATGTAAAAGAACTCAGACTCTGAAGGCAATGAGGAGTCGCTGAGGCAATTAAAACAGGGGATCGAGCAGAGCTCACTTTTAGGAGGACTGTCTTGATTGCCAAGAGCAAGAAAGGGTGGGACAGGTGACAGGTGAGGATCACCTGGGCTGAAACAGGGCAGAGGAGATAGAGAAGAGGAGACATGTCAGTGAGAAACCAAGCAGGGGAGATAAGCCAGCTTTTGGGCTCAAGTGCTGTGGGCTGTCGGGTGAGAGGGTCCATCACGGCTGCAGAAATCCACATGACTGACCATTAGCATCAGTCCTGGCCCCTCTGGCCATTCTTGGTGCCCTCCCTTCACAGCCTGGGGCTTGGCCCCACACCTGAGGGATGGCTCTCAGCCCAGGGTCAGGGTCAGGGGGCCTCAAGAGGCATGGTCAATGACTGTCCTTCAGCTCAGTCACTTCCTGGGCAATGACAACTCACAGTTTTTGGGTGCTTGCTATGTGCCAGGTGCCATTCCCAGCATGAATTTAACAGGCAGGTACTACTTTGCTCCCCATTACAGATGTGGAGGTGGAGGCAGAGAAGGGAAGTAACCCACCCAAGGGTGCACAGCTTGTAAACCGTGGAGCTGGGGGCAGGGACGCAGTCCTGCCCCCAGAGCCTCCATCTCCAGGTTCCTGCAGATAGTGACCGTGATGAGGAAATCTCCTTCACACCCATTCACCCTGGATCTCCTCTCAGCCCAGAAGAGGAGACATCATGACCATTATCACCCCCAAGTTACAGAAAAGTAAAACAGGGGTGCCTGGGTGGCTCAGTAAGTTGAGCATATGACTCTTGATTTCGGCTCAGGTTATGATCTCACGGTCATGAGTTCAAGCCCCATGTCACCTACTTAAGATTCTCTTTCTCTCTCCTTCTGCACACCTCCCACCAAAATTAAAAAAAAAAAAACAAACTAACTAACTAAAACATGGCTCAGGAAGCTACGTGGACACCTTTTGAAAAGAGGGCTGTTGGGGCACCTGGGTGGCGCAGTCGGTTAAGCGTCCGACTTCAGCCAGGTCACGATCTCGCGGTCCGGAAGTTCGAGCCCCGCGTCAGGCTCTGGGCTGATGGCTGGGAGCCTGTTTCCGATTCTGTGTCTCCCTCTCTCTCTGCCCCTCCCCCGTTCATGCTCTGTCTCTCTCTGTCCCAAAAATAAATAAACGTTGAAAAAAAAAAATCCCATTAGAAAAGAGGGCTGTTTGCCTCCATTGATGAAGCCAGCAGCTGTGAAACAGTGACAGAAAACTAAAACTCTGTGTCAGCGACCTTCTGTCCCTCTGCCCCCAACACCTCTCCCCACTCTACCCCGCCCTACCCCGCCCAGCACCTTATCTCCACAGCCAAGTTTCTTCCAGATCTGTTGTCATGGAAGGAAACTTAGAGAAGTGGGGGATGGGGCCAAACCAGGCAGGCCATCTCTCTCTCTGTGCCCATGGGATGGGCATGTGCACACATATATGTGGGTGAACTTTGTGCAAAGGTGTATGCACTGGGTGTGCATGTCTGTGCATGAGCACTGCTCTCATCCTATGTGCCCGCGTACTCCTGTGCATGCATGTGTGCGTCTCTTTGGGTATTCAATTGCATCTGTGCCTGGATGTGTGTATCTGTGCATGCGTGAATCTAAGGACTCAGCAATTCAGAGAGTGAGAGTTTCCCCTGCTCATTTCCCCCACAAGCAGGCACTTGCCTGGAAATGCAGCCTGTAGCGGGCCCTCAGCACTGCAAGGGCCCTCACCCATGGGCTGGGCCAGAACGGCTGATCTGGGCCAGATTTATCCCATGCCACCAGTCCCATCCTGCCTGG